CCAGGGCCTGCGGGCTGTAGAAGTCCCTTGGCCTCATTTACACCGGCTGACCTCACACGCCTCACCAAAGAGAAACCGTTCCAGCCATCACATTAGGGGTGAGTTGATTCGGTGTTTGACCAGTATGACCCGAGCATGATGGTATCAATATCCAAACGGCCCATGGCAGAGACAAAAAAAGGGCTCCCCGTCCTAAGACCCAGCCACTGGGCCTGGCCCACTGTCCCTATTCTTTCTATTGCTGCTGGTGTCAATTCCCCTGTGGAACCAGTCTGCACGCTGCCTTTTGCATGCAGGCCTGCCTCCTGTGTTGTGTCGTTTGGGTCTATGAGTTCATGGGGCGGTTTTGCTGTTCCTTTTCAAGACTAACTGACTCCAAACTATTTTTATGTCATGCTTCAGCTGGGGTTTTCTGCACCACGTGGGCGCCCCCACAGCTGCCCGTGTTCCAGGCTCAAAGCCCTGACTGGGTGTGCAAGTCACTCTGTCCAGCCATGGCTGGGGAAAGCCCCGCACTTCTTGCTCCAACTCCAGCCTGACAGCTAAGAGATTCTGGTCTCCTAAACAGTTCTGACACCTGGTGTCATCCTGGGAGCTTAGACTCGACTCCCTGCCAGTAGCTCGGGGCCTGGCTCCTGGACCTAGTCCCCAGGCAGCCATTAAAATCTCAATCCCTACACCTCAGGTTCACTCTCGGCCTCCCCACAGGCTGTGGCCACTAGCTGCTCTCATTGATAGTAGTTTCTGCCCCACTCTCTGAGCCAGACAGCCAACTAAACCCCTGTTGCTGAGTTGATTGCACCCTCTGAGGATGTCTGAGGCTGTAAGTCTTTATGGGAGCTGACAGCCTCTTCTTTCTCTCGAGGAGCAGCTGGTGGGTGAACCGCCAACCTTGTTCTTAAAAGCTTGATGTTTAGAGAGAGCTCCTTACCTCTTTCTCTTAGAGTCTAAGGTGACCAGACGTCCCACTTTGGGCGTGACACTCCCGATTTTTAACAATTTTTTCCTGCGTCCCGCGGCGTTTTGAAAAAGTCTCAATTTTTGGAAAGCATGCACGACAAGCTAGGGTATACGGTTTTCGGCTGCCATGTGGCTCTTTCGCCAGGATATGAGTTTGATCAATGGTGTCCCGCTTTACCAGTGTTACAATCTGGCCCCCTTATGGCTTAGACCCTTGTTTCTGACCTCGGCTTAGCATGTTTAACACAGCTAGACATCTATCAGTCAGCATTCTCCCATGTCTGACTCAATCTATGTCAGCGAGTCCATTCCCCCTCTGAGCGACCCTACAGGACAGGGGCGCCCCTGTGGGTTTCTGACACTGTACCTCTTGATGGGAGTAGAAAGTGCTGTCTGTCTCCCGAGGAGCAGCTGGTGGTTTTGAACTGCCGACCTTGCAGTCAGCAGCCCAGCGAGTAACCACTACACCGCCAGGGCTCCTCTCATATGTCTGAAGTGGGGATGTTCACTGGGCCACCTCGGTGCACCTCTGTGTCCCAAAGCCAGGCAGAGCTGGCTTCAGGGGGGGACTGAGGGGACTAGGGCTCAGGCTGGGCCCAGAACATGTCCTTTCTCAGGAGCTCGGGCCCCACCCCATGCTCTATTTGAGGCTGAAGATCCTGTGGGGTGCCTGGTGGAGCAGGGACAAGCTCTGAGGCTGCAGCCCCTCTCCTTCTCCTCAGAGCCAAGCTGCCCTGAGGATCCTGGGAATGGGTCCTGTTCCCTGTGCCTTTGCTGGGAAGTCAGGGACCAGGGTGGATCCAGGCTTCACTCACTGGCTCTGCCCCCACAGACCCTGACCCAGTCCTGAGGTTCCAAATACAGCAGGGGTTTGGGGCAGAGAATGCTGATGGGCCAACCTGTCTGGAAGAGCCCCAGACTCCAGGCCTGCGGATCTGAAGGGCCATCCGCTATCTCCTCACTGTCCTTCCTCTGCAGTCTGCAGAGAGTGGGTGTGAGGTGTTGAGTGTGATGGGCGTGAATATGGGTGTTTCTGTGTGGGTGTACGAGGGGTACGCCCCAAGAAAATGGAATTGTGTTGGGTGGGGCGGAACTTTTGTAGTACGCATTTCCCCTGGAGGCGAGCACAGAGAAAATCGCTCTGAGTTAGTGCACCCAGTGGCGTCACCTGGGAAGCTTCTCTCTGGTCACAGTGATTTTTTTTGTAAAAGCAGTTTCTCTTGAACCTCGTTGTTTTGGATGGCCAATTTAAGAGAATAGGGTGCAGCTGTGGAATTTTGTTTCCTGCTCGGGGAAAAATGTCCCAGAAACTGTTGCCATGTTGAACACCGCTTACAAGGACAGTGCTATGGGGAAAACCTCAAGAGTATGAGTGGTTTTCTCATTTCAAAAGAGGTGAAATGTCAGTTGATGACAAACCCCATTCTAGACGTCCATCAACTTCCCAAGTGGATGAAAATGTCTACTTGTAGTGCATTTGGAGTTTGTTCCACCAGGTCAGACTGTTAATCAAGCTTTCTATACAGAGGTTCTGAAAGGATTGTGTAACAGTGTGCAACAAAAAAGACCTGATTTGTGGCGTATGAGGAATTGGTTTTGCCACCATGACAATGCACCTGCTCACACAGCCATCTCAGTGTGTCAGTTTTTGCCAAAAACCATCGTGCCTCCCTTCTCCATGCACCTGACTCACCTGACCTCACTCCGTGTGACTTCTTTTCATTTCCATGAATACAGAGGGACATGAAAGGACAGCAGTTTGAGGATGTAGAAGAGGTGAAGAAAAATAAACAAGGGAGGTGCTGTCAGCCATCCAAAGAGATGAATTTGAAAAATGTTTCCAAGAATGGAATTGCAGATTTGACAAATGTGTTAAGTGTAATGGAGAGTACTTTGATGGTGATAAGTTTGTTTCATAAAAAGATTTAAATACATAGCTTTGAAAAAATATCCTTTTTGGGGGGGTTACCTCCTTGTATGAGTGAGGGTGGATGTGGATGTGAATGTGTGAGTGTTTGTGTAGGAGTGAGTCTTGTGTGAGTGTGATGGGTGTGAGTGTGTATGTATCTGTAGGTGGTGAGTGAGAGTGGGTGTGAGTGTGTATGAGTGTGATGGGTGTGTGTGTGTGTGTGTGTGTGTGTGAGGGTATGAGAGCGTGAGCATGTATGTGTGTGAGAGAGAGAGGCACTGTTGGTTTGCTGATTGAGGCCGTCTGTCTGTCCAGCTCTTGCAGACATCTCCCTGGGGCACGCCCCTGAGAAGCAGACGGGCACAGCTCCCCAGCTGGAAGCAGCCTTTCGTTTACCCATCAGGTATCAGCGAGCACTTTCGACACACCAGGTGCTGCGCTGGTCCAGGGGCAAAGGGAGGCGGGGAGCAACCACTGGAAATATAAACGCACAAATACGTACGACATTCTAGGGGTTACACGTGCTCCGAAGCCAACGTACAGGGACCTGGGAGAGACTAAGACAGGGAGGGGTTACGTTTGGGGTGAGGGTCAGGAAGGGGTTTGTAAAGAAGTGAGTTCCAAGTCCAGTCCTCAGCGAGGCAAACTCAAAAAAAGGCACTGCCTTCGAGTCCTTTCCAACTCACAGCTCCCCACAGGACAGCGGAGAACAGCCCCTGTGGGGGTCTGAGGCTGCAACTCTTTACAGGAGTAGAAAGCCTCATCTTCCTCCTGGGGAGCAGCTGGTGGTTTAGAACTCTTCACCTGGCCCTGAGCAGCCCAATGCATAGCACAGCCCGCTGTGCCACCTGGGAGGCAGGGAAAGTGTAATCCAGCGGCAGCGGGAACAGCCTGTGTGATGGCCCGGAGCATGCCAGAAACAGAAAGAGGCAAGTGAGGGAAGGCGGGTCAGGCCGGCTGACTAGAGAAACAAATCCAGGGACACTCGTACATCTGTAAAAGAGAGCTTTATACCAAGAAGTGGTTACATCTTGAGAAAATGTCCCAGCTCAGTCCAACCCAAGTCCGTAAGGCCGATACTAGTCCATAAGTCCCTCTTCAGAGCCAGGAAGACACATGCGGTGACGCAGAATCAGGGAGATCGCAGGCCAGGTCAGTGGGTGCCAAGTCCTATGGATCCAATGGTGGTGGCCGGTCACAGTGCTCACAGCCTCCAGGGCCCACCTGCCAGCAGGAAGGTGAAGCAGAGAAGAAGGGTCCCCAGGACCGTCCTTATGAGAAGGCCATGCCCACAAGGAGACACCATCTGGCTCTGAACTGATTGACAGGGTGGACTCCACCCCTACACTATTCTATACCTTCAAGCTGACATAAAATGATGTAACTACCAAAGGAGGGGAGGAGGCTGGGGAATCCAGGGTTTCAGGAGGCAGGCAGGGCAAAGGGTGTAGATTTCCTCCCAGGTACAGGGGCCAGTGGGGGGCTCTCAGCAAGGAGGGACGTGGCCAGGTGCACCTTATGAAGCTTTGCTGCAGGTGGACAGGATGTCCCTGCCAGTCATGCTGGGCACATTGGCAAAGGGATGAGGGGCGGAGGCGCAGGGTGTCTGGAGTTGCCCAGAGTCCTCACAGGGCTCTAACTGCTGGGGGAGGCGGCGGCAGTCGGGGCAGGGCCTTGAGGGACAGCAGGCGAGGTGACCAGCCTTGCAGAGCCGCGCACCAGCTTGCACAGAAGCTTGGCAGTAAGTGGGTGCAGAGTGGGCATGATGCCGAGGTCACAGGGTCCCTTGGTGGTGAGTCAGCATTGGGGTTCTGTCTCAGATGGAGTGGGTTTTCTGATACGCCACCAAAGCCTGGCCCCAAGACCTGGCATTGAGGAAGTCCCCAAGCCTCAGCGTCTTTGCTCCTGTAAGCCCAGGCTGCTCCCCAAGGGCACACTTCCCCATTGCTGCTCATGGCGGGGCAGGGAGAGGAAGTGCTGGTCACAGACTAGACCAGCCGCCCTGGGGAGGGGCCTCTCTCTTGCATGAGAGATAGGCAGGGGTAGGGGGAACTCCCAGGACCACAGCTGCTGAGCCACTGGGTGCCTGGAGGGAAGTGAGTGAATGGCGAGCTTCATCTAGGCCTGGGGACAGGACCCTCTGCCACTTGTTCCACGGGCCCTGGCCCACCGCCATGAGCCAGGCTCAGCAGCTGCGGGCTGAGAGGTGAGTGAGCTTGTTGGCCCTCCCTGGCCTCCTTGCTATTCCCTGCAGGCTGCATTTGGGAGGTCAGGTGCGGGGGAGGACCCGGGGCAGGTCCTCCTGAGGATCCTTGCCAAGATCAGAAGGTGACAGGCTAGGGCTGACTCAGAATACTCAGGAGTGCAGACACCTGGGACAGCTTCCAGGCCTCTCCCTCCCTGGGGCCCAGGTTCGGGTGCTTGAGGGCATCACCAGATCCCAGCCCCTCCTTCCTCGCAGCACTCCCCCTAGAACCTCTGACAGCCAGCCCCTCTGTCTGGGGCTCGGGCACTTCCTGTTTCTCAAGGACCAGGGACCAAAGCAGTGATGCTGAGAACATGCCCTCTCAGTAGCCCAATCCTGTCGCTTTGGAGCCACCCTTGACCTCCAGAGGGAAAGGTTGCCCTCACCCTGCCTTCCTGGAGGCCCTGTGGCCTTGCTGCATCTCGAATGCTTTCCCTGGAAATGGGCTGAAATCGCTGCACTTGAAGCCAGGGTCCACTCAGCGGGGGCTCTGAAACCCAAGGCTTCCCAAGAGGCAAGGGGCTGGCCACAGGGTAGTTCAGCCCCCACAGACTTGCTGGGCATGTGTACCTACTATGTACCAGGCACCCCAGAAACTGGAATGCTCAGATCTTCCAAGACCCTGCAGACCCAGCCCTCTCGAGTCCCTACTCTAAAGGCAAACTTCTGAGCAGGGTGACAAGCCCCAACCACCTTGCCCCACAGGTCCTGAGCCTCAAGGAAGGTTCCCCAGGGGGACCTGCAGCTGGCTTTGAGCCACCCCTGCCCCGGGGCAGCAGGCTCTGCTCTGGCTCCTTTGCCCTGCTTCTTCGGCAATCAGAGGGCAGGGCTCTGCACAAACGTGGCCTCCAGCCTCCCCAAAGCACTCTGCTTCACCCAGCAGAGGAAGTGGCCAGGGGAGAGAGGAGCTTCAGGGGGTCTAGCTGGCACTACATCTAGTCCGTTGCTGGCCTGCTGTGCACAGGCCGACAGTGTTGTCTCTGATAACCCCCACTTTGCCCCCAGCCCTGTATGGGCACACAACCCCCAGGAGTGGCCCCTGTTCCCCTCCCTGGCTCTGCTGCTCACCTCCTCCCACCTCAGGTTCTGTGCTCTGGCCATGGGTCACACACCCCTGATTCCTTCAGCTTGGGCCTGTGTCCTCAATGTCCCCAGGCCTGCAGCACCGT